TCGAAGTTTCTCTCAAGAACCAAGAACATTTCCGCGATGTCCAGAGTGCGGAAAAATAAAGATCGGCTTAATTGAAATAAATCTAGCGCAAGTGGGGAGACTTCTATAGTGATGAAAATCTAGCGGTGTTGTCTGCTGGCCACCTTCGGTAATTTCAGTTGAGGGCTGACGGAAAATATCAATATAATCATTGCAAAGGCTGCAATATAACTTACTTTCAAATTGGTTTTCGTTTTTGCTTTCACAAATAACTTCTTGGCACCATAATAAATTGTTAGAGATAACGAAATACGTGGGGGAAATGGACATGTTGCGCTGTGTCATCGATCAGATCAGTGTTATTTCATCAGACCAAATATCACTTAAACTCATTTTAAGTATCGAAAGTGTACCAATTATAAGGACTATAATTAACTATAGCATTGCTTGTAGGCAAAGAATATTTTCTAACAGGTCCTGCGAGGGTATTTTTTGAGGGGGAAGAGGGGAAGCAGGCGGATTTAGCGGTCACTGACCCGAGGCTGCACCGCGGGTTTCAGCCCTCGTGACTTTCCCTCTGTTATGCCAGGTTTGGGGAGCACGGCTATGGTGTTGGCAACATTAGCGGCAAGATAAAATATAAAGAAATTGCAGTACTCTGGCCGAAAACTAAATGAAGATAGTAAAAATGCATATTTTAAATAAATGTTTTAAATATTTAATCTTGCAACTGAATTCACCTCGTGCTCTCCATGGTCAGTATAAGATAAAATAAACTCTACGGTAAATGAAAACAACATTTAATTTACCACAGGCTCTGATACTGTCAGGATATCAACACCAATATCAAAGATCGAACAAAATTTCATTGGAAAGCCACGAGATGATGCCCACATCCAGTGAAGAAGTAATGAATTGAAAATGCAGGATATTTAATTGAAGCGAACTGGAACAAGACAATGGCGAGCTTACGAAAAAGAATTAAGGCTTAAGACCAGTATATGTACATGAACAATAATATCAAATGATTGTAAATGATAGATATGATAAATGAATGACGAAACAATAAATTTATTATTTATAAATATTTGTTTGAAAGAGATCGCATTCCCAGGCTAACCTCTCAACAACTGGACAACATTTACAGCAGAAATACGCGGCCCAGTTGCCTCCCGTATATCCGTAAAGCTTACGTGGTGGGCGCTCCAAAGTATATACTAAAAATTAACAAAGAAACATTTTAAATTTTAAATACGCATCAATGTAAGACTATTTTAATGAATATTACGTTAAAATGAATTCAATTCCCCACGATAGTAAGAATAATTGGTCAAGATAACAAAGGTGTTGATAGAGCAATTAAAATGTAAAGGAAATAATTGGCGGTCCAACTCAGCTAAGTTAGACAACATGATAAAGTTAAAGCTTAAAAACGCATTAAGTGCCTCGCAGGCTGGCAATAAAGCCAAGAGATCAATGCGTCGTAGACGACTTGTATGTTGGGCCTGACAAAAGAGGTGAACTCTCGAATGTTTATTAGGGAAAGAAAAATTAAACATAGATTGCACAATAAAAAACCGCAGCAGAGCGCGGTGTTAGGCTCACTTCCATACAGATCAAGATTCCGAATCCATTTCAACGCTTCACCGTCCTCCTAGAAATCGACTACCGTAACAAAAGAAACTTACTCGTCTAAGCCTCCGTTAAATTAAAACGAAACACATTTTTAAATACAGCTCCAACTATACTTGTTCTTGTATTTTTTAAACGATTTCGTACTTCGCAGAAATTTAAAACGTAAATTTTGAAATAAATGTAATACAATAGAAATATTTGCTTCATAAGTTACAGACTGTGTCGCTATGATTTAGATTATTGTCCAAATTTTGGCTTGTTCAAAATAATCGTTTGTACAGACTTTGTTCTGTCTCCCTTGTTTTCATGTTTTGCGAATGAAACGAAGTTTACATGCAAAAATATACTCCATTTTTTTCACAGAAAATAAAATAAACTCGCTCTATTACGCACAACCTGCAAGTGCCCGGATATACCTTTGAAAAATATAACTCAGTACTCACTGCAGTGAGTGACAGAGAGCGCATTTTCTCGTCGACGAAAACGTGAAGTCACGGACGAACAGACAGACGGACGGACATGGCGAGCACAATAGTGAATTTTTTCCATAAATGAGAAAATGCGCTAAAAACACAAAATATCCCACAAAATATATCCGGATCCACACTCCCACGGCATTACCAAAGCTGGCGTTGGGCTGCCGAGGGGGAGCAAATTGGACACCCCTCCCCCCCTCACCCCACACACATTTGGGGGCAGGGTGTCAAATTTGTGAAGGGTGGGGAAGGTGAGCAGGAAAGTAGGTGGGGAAGGTGAGCACGAAAGTAAGTGGGGAAGGTGAGAATGAAAGTAAGTGGGAAGGTGAGCACGAAAGTAAGTGAGGAAGGTGAGTGGTGAGAATGAAAGTAAGTGGGGAAGGTGAGCAGGAAAGTAAGTGGGGAAGGTGAGCACGAAAGTAAGTGGGGAAGGTGAGAATGAAAGTAAGTGAGGAAGATGAGCACGACAGTAAGTGGGGAATGTGAGCAACGGTGGGGGGAGGTGAGCACGAAAGTAGGTGGGGAAGGTGAGCAGAAAGTAAGTGGGGAAGGTAAGCACAAAGTAAGTGGGGAAGGTGAGCAGGAAAGTAACGGTTAGTGTCGCCAGGACGGCTGTCCCGGTTGCTGATGTCCCCCCAGTCGCCACATAAAATTCTCGTCGTAACCACCACGTCCATATTTTATTCCTTTTGGCTGCTGGTGCTTCTTTTTGATGATATTTCACCTGCGAACGCGGGGCTTAAGGGGAGAGTCTCAGTGCGGGGAAAAGAGCTCGAAATTTTTATGAAAATCGTTGCTAGTTTCTGTGAAAAGAGCGCGAAAGTGCTGAATAACACGTTATTTATTGTTATGAAGAAAGAAAAACCATGGATAGCTTTACGCTGATGTGGAAAGAGTGCGTATATGTTTTGTAAAAAACGTTATGGTGCGTGAAAACGACTGATTGTTGAAGGATTGTGAAATGAATGGCCGGATGAAGTAATGATCCGTTAACGCTGTAAACTGAACCTCAAGTGCAAGGTGACGAAGTTCCATTTGCTGTGAAAGAAGCGCTTAGATGCCGTACAGCTATAATATTTTGGTGCGCAAAGAATTCAAGAGCTGTCGTATGACGGCAGTTTAGGAGCCAAATTTCAGGTTCTCGCGTATCTACACAGTCCACAAACAAAGAATATAATGCTTCTTGTGTGGTTGCAAGGAAACCATAAAGGTCGTAAAAATGAGGAAAAATGTGGAAATTTTATCTAAAAAACACACACACACAAAAAAGAAAATTTAAATGGTGAATATATTGAAACAAACGAGCATATACGCCTAAAACTGACATATGAAACGAGTTCAACAGTGGAAGCAAAATCAAATCTCTATAATATTTTCGCAATATCGCCTGCTTCGCCAGAAAATTTTCCAGTGGAAAGTTTTGCGTTCAGTTAGATCTCCTCTACGCGTCCACGACAGCTTGACTGGTCTGACCCATTCCCTTACATTGACAAAATACGAACAGGAACTAAAAATACTTTTTAATGGATATGAATCCTTAACACTACCGTTGGGGGAAAAATTAGGAAAAAATCTTATTTTTTGAGTGAATTTCATGCGCTTTCAATAGCTGAACTTTGAAATTTTGCCACGGACGGATTTTGAAGGGAAAGACGCTGCCGGCAATAAATCGTTTCCGCTGCTGCCCTCGTTGCGGACGAGTTAGGAATAGTTTTGCGCACCGCCAGAGGGCGCCACGTGGCCGCTCAAACTTTCCCTCTCCAATTGTTTACACAATATCGCGTCATGTGACTTTATCCGAATCACTGACGTCAGTGACGTGACTGTAGATTTTCGAATCTCTGCCCTACTGATTCAAAATTCCCTACACGAATGAATTTCTTGTATACAGTCGTAGTTTTGTACACGAATGATTTATGTAGGATTCCTGAATCTTAGCTCTACTGATTCGTGGTATTTTCAAGTTTAACTATTCTCAAAGGAATTCTGTCGACTGTATGTAGGATTGCCTTTAATGGATCTCCCGGCTGTGAAGCCATGTCAACAGTCTGATAGCAGATAGCAAGCAGTCAAGTTGTCGACCATGTCACCCCTCGGCCCTCAGCTGCTCAGCAGATTCCACAACCTTACTAACAAAACTTGTGAGCCTGGCTACGTACCTACGCGTTCTATTCTGGAATGATTGGTGTACAAAATTGGTGGTGCACGCCGCTGCACGGCTGCGCTTCCTTGCTCGGGTACCTAACTCCTGCCACCTTTTTTTGAACAATGTTGTAACCTCAGTTTCTTTCCTATACTGTGGCAAAGTTTCATTGAACAGATTTTGTTGCGAAAAATACGGCCAAAAGGCCGACCAGCGGCCGGCGCCGTTGCTTATTCTTTTTAGTCAAGGGTGGGAGCCGTTACATTTATTCAGCTTGCTGCTAGTCCATAAAAACTATACTTAAAAGGCCATAACGTTATGTTGGATGCGATAATCATATAATGATAAGTATTGATAACATTGATAATGGTCTCGTTAGAAACTTGTATTTTTGTTAGTGAAATAGATAGATTTATCTGATGGCTGGCGAAAGAAATCTCGTGGTATTAGTGAATTTGTATTTCTAATGATTTGCGGCCTTGTGATCGCCGTACTTGTGTAACATTCTAGAATGTTCGTCGATTTTAATAATTTATCAGATGTCTGGATAATCCACTCCTGTTAGCTCACCGACTTTGCCTTTGGTGCTTCCAATTTCGAAGGAACTCTAGATCAAAATAACAGACGAATGAATTTACCATGAGAAATGTTAAAAAAAAATGAGACGTAAATTTTTCTTGAGGAGCAGCCGGTGGGTTGAAAACCTTTCGTTGCCGATGTATCACTTTCAGTTTGGCAATCAGAATGAAGGTTAAAGATTCGAGTCATACAAAGACAGTAATTTCTAAAACGTACAGTAGCTGTGCATGTAAACGATAGTGAACACCGAAAGTTCCCACAACTTTACGATAAACTGATTAGAAAAGCGGTTCTACCTATGACACGAGCTGCTTACACAGCAGGGCAAGCAACCGCATCAACGACACGGTCATACCCCGGCACCGCCCCATCATCAGCACAGCGTGGATGCAGCTATACGAGTCTTGTCAAAATTAGTGTAAGAATAGAGCTGCACCAGACGAAATCATTTCCTATACTAAAATGATGGTCGTTTTACACATGTTAATACGAGACTAGATTTTTAAGCTGCCATGACACCTTGACCTTTGGTCAGCGCTTTTGAAATTATCGCGGATTTGGACAACATCAATTTTCTCTTAGCTTAACCAGAATCCATAGGTTACTTCACGACTTGAGCAGCATGTACGCCATTGTGGCTAGGAGACATTTTGAAATCAGGTCCCAGATCGCAGTCAAACGTGGAAGGCGAAGCCACCTGTATGAGCCCTATCGTATGACGAGCATATCCAAGATTAGTATCTTATAAGGTATGAGATTAGTATACTAAATATGCTGGTTTCATACTTGAAGTTAAAAATAAATTAGTATTTGAACGCAGTCCCTTTCGCCCCTACTTTGATTAATTACCATATAGGTAACAAAAGCTAACCTCCCGGCGGCTGTCTCGTCGAAGCAATAGAACGATTCTCACTAGGCATTGAAGACACTCAGAAGCTGCAAGCTGTGGGAGACGTCTAGACTCTACGAAGGAATATATATTAGTGACTACTTTGCTGTAAAAGCTCGAACTTATTATTACTAAAATATAAACATTCAGAATACGCTCACAGAATCACTAGCTTCCAACATCTGGCACTCATAATCACAAATTTTAATAGCGCTGCCCGTATCTGATCTCGATTACTTCTCTGGAGAAGCAAGAGGATATCAATGCATACCCAAGTTTCGTCGCATCCCAGCATTTTGAACACAAAATATTTAATGATGGACGTGGGACTAAGGGGTATTAAATAATTGATATTTAACTTTAAAATATTCAATAAGGGACTTAATGGGGGAATGGGATAATCTCCACTCAAATAAAATAAATCATATCAAAATATCGCGACTAATTTTCTAGTTTGATTTATAACCATAAATGGTAATAAGTCATGGAATGTAAGGGTTAGTTGAAGGATGTGTACATGAAGTTAATTTTACATTGAAATATGGTTGATACTTGAATTATTTAGTAATGTTTCTGCTATATTAAAGTACATGAACGTCGACCTCATTGGCAATGAGTGCTTGAGTAGTTGGATTAGAGGAAAGTCCAGCAGTTTATCGTGGCCTCGCTAATTCATGATTGAAATGTAAACAATTAACGATTCACACGAGAGCGGCTGGGGGCGCTCATAATGCGATCCGATGAGACGTGAACTCGAGGACGTCCAGTGAACTGAGCGCTGGAAGAGATATCATGAACCCTTGTCGCCGTTTTGGACAGAGCGAGGACAGCAGGTGTGGGGACAGAGGAAATGGAGACAGAAGGAGCAAGGACCGAGGGAACGGAGACAGAAGAGGCAGGGACAGATGGAACGGAGACAGAAGGAGCGGGGACAGAAGGAGCAGGGGCAGATGGAACGGAGACAGAAGGAGCAGGGGCAGATGGAACGGAGACAGAAGGAGCAGGGACAGAAGGAGCGGGGACAGAAGGAGCAGGGACAGAAGGAATGGAGACAGAAGGAGCAGGGACAGAAGGAACGGAAACAGAAGGAGCAGGGACAGAGGAAACGGAGACAAAAAGAGAAGGAACAGATGGAGCGGAGACAGAAAGAGTGGGGACAAAATGAGTAGGGACAGAAGGAGCGGGGACAGAAGTAGCAGCGACAGAAGTAGCAGCGACAGAAGTAGCAGCGACAGAAGGAGCAGGGACAAAATGAGTAGGGACAGAAGGAGCGGGGACAGAAGGAGCGGGGACAGAAGGAGCGGGGACAGAAGGAGCGGGGACAGAAGGAGCGGGGACAGAAGGAGCGGGGACAGAAGTAGCGGCGACAGAAGGAGCAGGGAACGAGTGAGTAGGAGGAGACATGAACTGCATGGACGAAATCAGGACGTGCGGCTCAGTAGAAATTTCTGTACTATGATTGGCCTTATTGACATCAGCTTTGGAAATGCTCCCGTTGATAGAGGACACGGCCATGGATGCACTCGTGAGGATAGCCATTGTGGCCACTCGAGTATTCGGATACGGAGTAACCACAACTCGGGACATTGCATTTGAGTTGAGAGACTTTGGAACTTCAGACACGAGCAATGATGACTTCAACGAAGACATCGCTGATGTTTTAGAAAGTAGTGAAGTCAACTTCCACGTCGGTTTGTTTAAAGTTTCAAAGTCTGATAGAACAAGGGAGTGGAGAACAGCAGAAGATGAGTACACAGATCTCAGTGGGCTCGAAACGACTGCTGATACGGAAACTGACGTCTGCTTTCCACTAAGTGAAGTGATACTCGATTTGGTTCTAGCTGTGTGGAGTATATCTTCATAAGGAGTTGTTTGAGTGACTAAGAGTACAGTGGAGGTCAAATAAGTCATTTCGAATTGCGGAGTAGTCCCCATAGATGTTGATGCCTGAATAGATGTGGGGTACACTGTGGGCTTGATGTGCGTGGGAGAATGAGGAGTTAGCTGCAAAGAGGCAGGATGAATAGCAGAAAGCGTCTCGGGAGTAGACCAGTAATCTGGCAACTGGGCCGAAGGAGATGAAGTCATAATAGTATTTGGCTTGTTTTTATGGATGAACGCAGGGCTCCTTTGAGTGTACTCGGGAACGGAAGCAGCCCCTTTGAAGGGCTGTCATTGTAACAAATCCCGATACTTGTACGCCAGCAGCACAGCAACGATGCTCGTGAAGCAGATCAGGAACACGCGCCAAGGAAACTGCAACATTGAAATTCAGAATGAAACATGGAACAGGGATGACAGTTAGAAATTAATTTGTTTTTCTAATTAATTTAATGCATTTTTACTTTGATGGAAGAATTGTGTATCAATTTTAATTTATCATATAAATCGATCGCTTTAATATGATGAAAAAATTACAGGGCTACTGAAATAAGAATTTGAGTTCATGAGTAACACGAACCATGACTCGCTTATCAGCCTTAAGATACCCCCAGGTAACACATACCCAGAGTTGGTTTAGGGACACACACCCAAGGCCATGCTAAAAGCACCACCTTTTTCGACGGCGATTATGGTGCCATCTACCAGCGACACCGAGAATTTAACTGAGCTTCCCGAGGCTCGAACCCACGAGTAGCTCCTCTTATCCCGTTGCCGCCATAACTGCGCATACAGCGGCGCTAACCACTTGTCTCACCATCCTGAGGGTGGGGTGCCGGTCCGGCTCCCTGTTCTGCTCGTTTGGTCGCAGCCCCAGCATGCGCCTGTAGAGCGTCTTCTCGCTCTCGGTCTCCTGTCGCGCTGCGTCTGACATCTTGCTCAGCTCGGCATGGATGGCGCGGTTCTCAGGCTCCAGTCGCAGGGCCTCTTTCAGAAATTTGATGGCCTCAGTGCTGCGGCCTTTCAGGTGCAGGGCCTGGGGTACAATGCCGTGTTAAGAAGCAAACTTTTTACAATATACTTTACAAAATATTAAACCAGCACCTCATAATGCACACTTATGCCAAGATTTTTCGTGGTTGTAAGATATATAATTAATAGGTTTAAAATTATATTTACGGTAGCTAAAAATAAAAGAGAAGTCTGGCCAAGTGCAAGAGTTTGAAGCAAAGAAACTTTTCAATATAATAATAGCGGTTTCAGCCTTTATTAGGCCTTAGGCCTGTCACTGATTCTTAACATCGCAGAACATTCACAGCTTGTTGTGGTCTCGAACTCACAACTCACTGCTACAATTCTGCTGTGCCCGGCCTCCTCGCCGATTCTGACCAAAAACTGGCGCACAGAGCTGGGATCGAATCCGCGCCTCTCTGCGCCAATCTTGGTACTCTTAACTTTAACCACTGGGCCACCCTGCCCATAAGACAACACGGAAAAGCTACTTTTGACATCAATCTGCTCTGAGTGTAGAGAGGAAGAGCAATGGTCAACATTACTTCTTTTGACCAGCAGACTAAAGTTACACGCATCTGTTACGTTCCAAATATTGTGAAGGGAATATCCTAGTTAAAATATCGTAGAGATTATACAACTTCATTGGATCTGACTTGAATACGCGTGAGCTCTACCACTTAAGAAGGAAATTATAATTTCTTTTGAATGATTTCGCTTCGAAAATAAATCTATATTACAGTTTTACTGATATTCAGTAATAATATTGCCTCAAAAGTGTTTCTTGCAAAACCAAGCTTGCTGCTCAACAATAACGAGTGACGTGCTGCGTTCATCTTACCATTACTGAACATAATGAGTGACGTGCTGCGTTCACCTCACCATTACTGAACATAATGAGTGACATGCTGCGTTCACCTCACCATTACTGAACATAATGAGTGATATGCTGCGTTCACCTCACCATTACTGAACATAATGAGTGACGGCAAGTTGTGTTCATCTTATCCTCCCTGAAGATAATATTGACGTCTTGCTGTGTTCACCTTGCCTCTCCTGAAGAGAGCCTTGACGTTGTTGGGCTGGCACTGCAGGACGACCGCGACGCTGGCGAGGGCAGCGTCCAGAGCCCCCAGCTTGATCTGTGCGGCGGCCATGTTGTTCAGGGCCTTCAGGCGCTCCTCGAGGATAGCCAACACCTGGGGCAGCACAAATTTGCATGCAGATTTATAAATGATGATACACACACATTTACTGAACACAACTAAAGCATTGAGCAGGAAATAACTTGATAAAGGTAGAAAATAGGTATTATTTGAAAAATGTACGACAATCAAACACTCCCTGTTTGTTATGGGATGAGTTATCTCATAGTCTTATTTGATAGAGAAAGAAGTCAATGAATATAATTATGTATTGTTGCAAACATCAAAACTTGATTTGAAATCTTATGATATTTGTTGCCCATTTATGCTGCTTTATATCTCGTAATGCTTCTTAGAGATGGGAGGCTCATGATCAATTCTGTATCGAGACAATTAGAAATAAAATTAATGCAGACCTCAGGTTTGGCTTCCTGATCAAAGTTGACCTCCTCTGTATCATCAAGGAAGTCCACGGCGGCCTTGTAGCACTGAACTGCTTCACTGTAGTCACCTCTGTTGAACCACCAGTTGCCACGAATACGCTTGCGGTTCCTAGTGATGTGAAGACATAAGAGTGCAAGCTTTAAACAACACATTGGATTGTAATGAGCAGCTTGGACATACCCAAATGAGGTTCTATTGGCACATTGATTTCATATGGACTGCGAGGTTAATCCAGTATATTGCAAATTTTTTCCAGATAATAAAACATTACAACCACCCAAAAACTGGGGTCAGAGAAAGTGCGGTTGGTGCTTTTAAAGCCTAATGCAGGCTAGAGAACCGACAGAGAGCTAGGAGAACTGCATCCAGCCACTTAGATAAATATAAGACTGAATTTAAACCTAAATTCAAAAATTTCAACTGAATGTTAAGTTTCAAGATTGAGTGAAAAATTCAGTAGCTGAGACACTGGGAAATGTGCTATCATACATAAATAACTTATAGCATATGTTGAATAATACTATAAGGCTTACCCAATCTGCTGTCTTTCATCTATTGGAAGAGATTCTGGAATGTCTTCAGGCTTGTAGTCTAGAAGCTTGACTGTGCAGAGGAGTGATGCGTCTGCAGGTACTCTTTCACCATCTCCTTTGCTGCCGTATGCAAACCTGGCCAACAAAATGCACCCATGAACTTCATTACTACATAAAATTAATGAAAATGTAATCCCGATAGAAACAAGAATGTTAAACATCTTAATTCTTCTGAAATAAAATCTAAAATTCAAGTAATTTTTCTTATTAGCATTGAGAAAAAATAATTGTTAACCAACACACCTAGAGTGGATGTAAACTTCTGATTCTTCACCTCTGTCCATGAGCGGCACGACAAGGTCCAGTCCAGGGATTACCTGAATCATGCAAAATGTAAGCCATATTGTTTGAGTTGATTGGTACAGCTGTGTTAGATGCTCCTCATATATATACCAAGATTAGTGGCCAAGTAAGTTGACCTACAAATATCTACAACAGTAAAATAAGTTGCCACCCTATTTTTTGCCAACTATCGTCCATTCCATGCACATTGAATGAGGAGTAAAACAAACTCAGCCAGAAAGAAAGAAAAATTTTTTAAAAGTCTCTCAATTAATTAGATATTTTTTTAACATAATAATAATTCAATAAAATCTGCGTGAATATTTTTGAAAGTTCAAGTAAAAGTTAAATACTTTCAGGTCAAACAGCTATGGCAATTAACTTGCACAGAAGTTATAGTCAGCAATCTATGGCATCAGCATAAATTTAAAAAGGTCAGGCTTTTTCATGTTACAGGAAAATAAGGACAAAACTTCAAGCTCTCCAATTTGGCTTAGGGCTTAAGCTTGCATGTTAGAAAAAAAATTAATATTTGCAATGAATGCAGCAAACTTGACAACACACCTCACTGTCCCCTAAAGTGAAGTAGAGTGTGTGTGTGTCCTCTACAAGTGTGCCATCTGAAAGCCGCATTGTTAGCTCAATGCACACGGTGTCTCCTCGGACAGGTCGTGTCTCTACAATTCCTGCCACAAGAACCTGAAGAAAAAGGCACATCTTTTTAAAGGAGCCACGGGCACTAAGTGATTTTGTGCAAGCAATGTTTGCTCAACGCGTCTCAAAAAAATATTGTTTACAAAAGACAGTACACATTATTGGGTGCAGTACTCAAAATTTATAACAAAATTTATAAATGTCCACAAATTTTTAATAGTTTTATTTTTAATAGTTTTACGAGTATGTGGAGCTGGAATTAGCTGTAAGAATTTTAATGCACCGACCCATCTTACTTTTGATTAAGCTAAGGAGAATCTGGTATATGATTGAATAGAAATTAGCCTATTCATAAACTTGAGTTAATAGCTTCCTACTTTGTTTTACCTTTTTCTTGAGGTCACCAGACCCTATGATGTCCATCCACTCATCAGGAGTTTCTTCAATGTCTCCCTGCACCTCAACCTCCTCCACTCCTGTAGGCAACTCAAGGTCAGCTCCTGCACTCTCATCTGCAAATGAAGACATAAAACAATATCAGTTACACAACAATCAAAACTTCACCCAAAGTACAACTGTGACAACCACACAACAATAACAATTACACAAACAAAAATAACAGGTTAATCCACATGACAATGATAATTACACCCACACAAAAATATCAATTTGATTTTTTAGTACACTAGATGCAGTAACATGTATTTCCCCTACAACAGAGAGTTAGGAGATATGAATATTTTTGACCTGAGTACAAGTTGCTATGATGTAAGGTAATAAGCCAGGTGAATTTGCCCTGAACTGAATTTTTTTAAATAAGTTATCTTGGAAGCAAAGCCTCAATAAAAATCCCTGGAGACAAATTCTTAGCCATTCTGCATCTAGACAACTTTGAGAAGACATGAACTTTGGGGGAAAATTTAAAAACCCCAGGAGGTTATGGTTATGGTTATGCAGAATGTTATATATATTATATTTTATAATATTTCTTCCATCTGATTTTTATGAAATCAAAAACATTGATTGCCGCTGACTACCGTAGATCCCATTGAGATCATTAGAAGAAGATAGATTCCATGTGAAAAAAAAACAATGTGGACAAAAACATCTGCAAGTAACCAAAAGAATGAAAAATGCGTATAAGCTTATTCTATACTTCATTGAACTCTTGGTAAATAGGATCAACAGTGAAAGTTCCTCCGTATACCATATATGAAACATATCAGTGCTACAGATGCAAACCTATGTAATATTTTTATAGCATCAAATGCTGTTGACAAATTATTCTGAAGTTAACATAATGAATTTTTTTACATAAAAAACATTGTTTGGCACACAATTTAATTCATACTTGCAGTCATGTCAGACAGCATGCATTTATCTCACAAGCAATAATGTACTCAAGCAAAATGAGTACATTTTTATGTAATATATTGCCTCTAAATTGAAGAAAAAAAATTTCGAGTGTAAACAGATTTTCAGATAAATTACAAACTTCAAACTAATTACCATGATTTCAAAAATAAATTTGGAGAGAATTCATATTCATAGCATTAAAAAGAGATTTATAGCTCAAAAAAATGAACTTTAGGCTCAAAAATTTTTTCTAATGGCTTAAAATTTTAACAACTTGTGGCCTTAAAAATTCAGGTACCATACAGCTTGACAGTGAATCTATCCCTTATCTGACACTATCTTTATAGATGAGCAAGGGACTGACTCACCTAAAGAGTTGATAGATGAAGCAGCCACATCTTTGTCACCATCAAGGAAAGAAGAGTCATCTAAGCTGGCCATACTATCCTCACTTGGTGCTTTATTGATGCCTTTTTCTTTTGTCATCTGGACAAGAAGTTCCAACACTTCCTATTAAAGAGATTTTATTTGTAATACTTTTTGGACGTGGTTTTGGGGTGAAGTTACCTGGAAGAACATCATAGTCAGGTCTTTGAAACACCATGAGCCAGTCATGGCATACATAGTATTCATTTAATGGGGGGTGATTGAGAGAAAATCATGAATAGAACAGAGGAATAATACAACACAAGTGAGAGAGATAGTTTATGTTAAGGGTTAGATAGGTCACATGGGTGCAGATGAGGCCAGTTGACATTGAAATAAAGAGAAAAATTCTTAAAACTTATTTTTTCTGTTATCACTACATTATTTTTTAGTTATTATCATGTTATTTTGGCATTTATATTAAATAAGAGAAGAGCTTGGGTGTAACTGTTTGTCTTTATTATTATTTTGCAATGAAGCTGTTGTTTATTGCTGTTGTGCATCCAAACCTAGACTTTGGAAATGCCATGTGCAGTGTGGTGACCAAAACTAGAATAGGACAAAAATTTAGTCAAGAGTGTTCAAAGACGTGCAAAAAGAATAATTCCGGGATTAAAAGGCAAGCGTTATGAAGAAAGATTAATGATTATGAAGCTTCAAACCCTCTGTTATCAACATCAGTGTGGTGACCTCATTGAAGTACCCATGGTTTGAAGCACCCATGGGTACCCCATACCCATGGTTTATATTATATACCAGGTCCCAGGAGTCCTAGAATTTAAAACAAGAACCAACACCAGGAAGCACGGCTATAAACCAAAAAAACTGCGTTGTAACACATCCATGCAGCAACATTACTTCTCACTTTGATTCACTAACATGTGGAACAGCCTACCTGACAGCATTGTTGACGTTCTGAGTATGAATGCCTTTAAGAACAGACTAGACAAAGCTATGCAGGAGCACATGTTCAGTTGCAAAATGCCTAGCACCTTATTGACCAATAAGTTCAGCAGCTATCTCAAAGAATCGTCAGTTGTGGAAAGATTGGGCTCAGAAGCCAGATCCCTTGTGGAATCAAGTCAAGAAAAGTCCAAGAATCAGCAACAAGGCCATGGGCCTATTTCTTCAGTGCTGACAATTCTATTCTATTAGCATTAGTAAAATATTTGTTATTTGTTTTCTCACACATCACACAATATGAGCTAACACAGTCACAATTCTCTGTCTCTTGTACTCTACACCTTTTAAAAATATAAATCTAATCACTTTCAGTTATCCCAGAAGTTACTAGCATTGTCACCACTATTTCCTAACAAACTATCATGGCAATATACTCATCTCCTCTTTCACACATCTCATCCAATATTGCTTTCAAGATTATAAGCATTTCTCTGGTAAATATTTATATACATCTATGACTGACCAAACTCAATCTTAAGGAATTCCAGTTTTCCCTACACCTTATCACATATCAGGCAAACAAGCTTCGGCAGGGTTGGCGATTTTTTTTTATTTTTTCATGATTTTTTTTATTCATTTGATTTTTATGATTTTTTCAGCTTTTTTGTCTTTTTGAAGTGTTATTTTTTATGTTGCAATTAGCCTACTAACAATAACAGTATATGGATCATAATGATGGCTAAAAAGAGCACTTATTGCCTTCAATAATGGCCAACAGGCCAAGGTGGTGTTTACCACTTAGGGATTTTTGGGCAAACAATTATTGATAAGTCTATTCATTAGCTTTGTAAAGTTTGTATGGAGCAAGGTAATGAGCTAAATATTGACCATTTAAATGGCTTCAATATACAAAAACACTTCAGGAATGCAGATCTTCCAAACATTGAAGGGTCACATAACAGATACCGGTAGGTATCTGTTATCACAGGGCACAGTGCACAACACTATCAATAGATCTATTAGTTTCATGTCCTATAAATCTACCAGACTCTACCCTCTATACACACCGACTAGTAGTGACTGAGTGACTGACTGCACTGTTCCCATTTACTTCAGACCAATAAACCAATACTTAACATAAACTGAACGATAACCAAACAAACCTCATACGACTTGAAACGAGACTTAAGTTATGAGAAAAGCTAACACTGTTTGAATTAAACATGTGCACAATTCAAATATTTTATATCCATTCACTGCATTTAATTATTTTATATATAGTCTTATAATTGTAATTGTTTTGTTTCTAGTTTTCAATTAACATATTTAAAGATTGAAATTAAATATTTTAATTAGAATACTCGTATTAGGGTGGAAAATCTTTCTAATTGCCTAAAAGGTCAATACACTTGCAACCTCTCAATATGAAGGGTGGGCAGAACTGATTGAGCAGTTTTGAGGTAAAATAAAAGAGTAATGGAGGTACATAAAGAAGAAAGCTTATTTTCCTAGAGGTTAGCATAACATACCATTTAGAATACTAATGTTTTGAAAACAATATCTGGAAGATGGGGGCCATTAGCTGCAACACACTAGCTGTTGGAGTCACTCTCGGAAGAGGGAGTAACCGTGACACAGTGAATTTTGATCGCTATGCTGCAATGTTGCAAAATTTCTTGCAGCCCTGGATGGAAAATATTGTTGAAAATGAAGCATTGCAAGATGTGTGGTTCCAGCAGGATGGGGCTACAGCTCACACAGCCTGAATGTCACTCAATATTTTGAGATGCATGTTTCCCTGATGTCTTTTGTCTCCGAGGGGTGATTTACAGTGGCCTGCTAGGTCACCTGATTTGAGCATTTGCAATTTCTTTCTTTGAGCACATCTAAAAGAAAGGGTGTTCAGAAGTCACCCTCACACCCTACCACAGCTAAGGGAACGGATTATTGCAGCCGAGGTTATAGCCATACCTTGCCATATGTGTGAACGTGCTGTAGAAAACTTCCAAGAACAACTCCCAACAGTGTGATGCAGCTAACAAACCCCATCTTCCTGATACTGTTTTCAAAACATAAGTATTTTAAATGGTATGTTATGCTAATCTTGAGGAAAATAAACTTTTTTCTTTATGTACCTCCATTACTCTTTTAATTTGCCTCAAACCTGTTCAATCAGTTCTGCCCCACCCTGTATAAGCTAGCTAACACATTTAAATTGTATATTGTTATCAAAATATAACAAATATTCAAATAGTTAAAGACTACTTATAGCCTTATAAGAATTAGTTAAGCTGCTAGCTACGTACAATGTATTGCACAATTGATGCCTCTGTACCAAAACATTCAATTTATTGGAACCAAATACACACTAAAGGCAAGTTAGGCAACAAGTTTATATACCAATTTGTCATCCATAGTACATTTATACTAAACCATGAATAACAATACCTCAATATAAATTAAAGACTGCCACTCAATATATTTAAATATATGAAAAAATCAAAAAAATCGAAAAAAATAAAAAAAATCATGATTTTTATATAAAAGAATCAAGTGATTCAATCACATGATTCAGGGTTGGCGATTTTTTTTATTTTTTTTTTAAATCAAAAAATCAAAAATCAATGATTTTCTTGATTTTTTCATAATTTTTTCGATTTATTTGATTTTTTGATTTTTTCAACTTTTTTGACTTTTTGAAGTGTTATTTTTTATGTTGCAATTAGCCTACTAACAATAACAGTACGGTATATGGATCATAATGGATGGCTAAAAAGGGCACTTATTGCCTTCAATAATGGCCAACAGGCCAAGGTGGTGTTTACCACTTAGGGATTTTTGAGTAAACAATTATTGGTAAGTCTATTCATTAGCTTTGTAAAGTTTGTATGGAGCAAGATAATGAGCTAAATATTGACCATTTAACTGGCTTAAATATACAAAAACACTTCAGGAATGCAGATCTTCTAAACATTGAAGAGTCACATTACAGATAGGTAGCTGATAGCACAGTGCACAGCACTATCAATAGATCTACTAGTTTTATGCCCTATAAATCTACCAGACTCTACCCTCTATACACACCAACTAGTAGTGACTGAGTGACTGACTGCACTGTTCCCATTTAATTCAGACCAATAAACCAATACTAAACATAAACTGAATGATAACCAAACAAACCTCATACAACTTGGAACGAGACTTAAGTTATGAGAAAATCTAATACTGTTTGAAATAAACATGTGCACAATTCAAATATTTTATATCCATTCACTGCATTTAATTATTTTATATATAGTCTTATAATTGTAATTGTTTTGTTTCTAGTTTTAAATTCTCATATTTAATGATTGAAATTAAACATTTTAATTAGAATACGGTACTCATATTAGGGTGGAATATCTTTCTAATTGCCTAAAAGGTCAATACAATCTCAACCTCTCAATATACAGTGTGGGGGAGAACTAATTTAGCAGTTTTGAGGTAAATAAAAGAGTAATGGAGGTACATAAAGAATAAAGTTTATTTTCTTAGAGGTTAGCATAACATACCATTTAGAATACTTATGTTTTGAAAACAATATCTGGAAGATGGGGGCCATTAGCAGCAACACACTGTTGGAGTCGTTCTCAGAGGAGGGAGTAACCGCAACAGTGAATTCCGATCGCTATGCTGTAATGTTGCAAAATTTATTGCAGCCCAAGATGAAAAACATTGTTGAAAATGAAACCTTGGGAGACATGTGGTTCCAGCAGGATGGGGCTACAGTTCACACAGCCCAAATGTCACTCAATGTTTTGAAACACATGTTTCCTGGACGTCTGGTGTCTCTGAGGGGTGATTTACAGTGGCCTGCGAGGTCACCTGATTTGAGCATTTGCAATTTCTTTCTTTGAAGACATTTAAAAGAAAGAGGTTCAGAAGTTTCCCTCACACCCTACCACAGCTAAGGGAACAGATTATTGCAGCAGAGGTTATGGCCATACCTCGCCATATGTGCAAACACGCTGTAGAAAACTTTCAAGAATGACTCAAGCAGTGCGATGCAGCTAACAAACCCCATCTTCCTGATATTATTTTCAAAGCATAAGTATTTTAAATGGTATGTTATGCTAATCTTGAGGAAAATAAACTTTCTTCTTTATGTACCTCCATTACTCTGTTATTTTGCCTCAAAACTGTTCAATCAGTTCTGCCCCACCTTGTATAAGCTAGCTAACACATTTAAATTGAATATTGTAATCAATATATAA